AAAAAAAAAAAAAAAAAAAAAAAAAAAAAAAAAGCCTAAATTCAACTTGGAGGAGCAATCAAGCAAGAAGAAACAGGAAAACCATGAGAAAGAAGAGAAATGAAGGGTGCAATGTGAGAGGAGAGTGGGATCTATAATCACAGAATGGTACAGGCCCAAGAATGCAGACAGATGACAGGGCAGAATAAAAAATCCAGAAATAGACCCAACTGCACTGGAAATTTGGGATACCACAAGTCAGCTGGGGTAAAACAGTTTTTAATAAGTGGTATTAGATATCTAGATAACAATATGGAAAATGGTAAAATTGGATCTTTTCATTCATAAATTGCAAGTGAATCAGAGACCTGAATGTAAAAAATGAAAACAAGTAGCAGAAAAAATTGTGTGAATGTCTCTATGTATTATGTGAGTGGGGAAGACATTCCTAATTATGTATCAAAATCCAAAAGCAACAAAGGAAAAGATTTGTAAATTTGATTAGAGAAAAACCAAAATCTTGCCCAACCCCAATCCACAAAAATTGCAAAATAAGCAGAGTTGGCAATGATAACCTAAGAAAAAATATTTGTAACATAATTTGAAGGATTAATATTCCTAAAATATAAAGTGCTTTATAAATAAGAAGATGGCGGCTAGCAAACCTAGAGAAAAAAGGGCTGAGGAAACGAGCAGATCCCACAAAAAGACATGCAAATAATCAAAAAACATATAGAAATGTGCTCTGCCTCACTCATAACAAAAGAAATACAAATTGAACCTTACAATGAAATATGATTTCTCACTTATCTTGGCAAGATCCAAACATTTGACAACACACTCTGTAGGTGAGAGAATGTGGAGGAAGCAGGCACTCTCATTCTCTGCTGATTTTTATATAAAATCATGCAACCCCTATGATTTGGCAGCATCTCCCAAAATAACTTGTTTATTTACCTACTGACTCAACAATCTCACTTCTAAATATCTATCTCAATTATACTGGTGATCTAACAACAAATGCTGGAAAAAATATATGCACAAAACTATATTATTCGAGCATTTCTTATAACAAAAGACTGGAAACAACCAAAGTGGTCATGAATGAAAGACATATTGAATACAGTGAAGCATACTGTGAAGCTATAAAAGAAAATAATTTTATATACTGCTAGGGTATGGTGTTGGAATACATTTGTTTAAAAGGTAAAGTAGAGGTCTATCTTCAAGTTGAATAACTGTACATTTATCTAAGAAAGTAAGGATTTTTTCTTTACAACTTTAAAGGAAATATGACATTCAGTAAGTTATGTGTATTTAAAGTGCACAGTTTGATCATTTTGGCATATGAACACACCTGTGAAACCATCATCACAACCAACATAGTGAACCTCCCAAAGTCTCCTTATTTCCTTTGTAATCTCCTGCTGCTTTTCACCTTTCCCTGTCCCCCAAGCAGAATTTCTGTTCTAGTAGATTAGTTTACATTTCGTGAAGTTGGATATGTATGTAATCATGCATGATTACATTATATTTTCTCTCGCTTCTCTCAGTCAACATAATTTGAGATTCACCAGAGCTGAATACGTTCATAAGAAAAACTGCAGTGGGAGGAAAATGTTAAGTCAAGTTCATTCATTGAAATGCTCAAAGATGAGGAGTGGAAAAAACAACTTAACTGTTCTAGGAAAAACTCAGCCTAGATACATTGAAAAACATTTTCAAGAGTAAAGACTACCGACAAATCTCCTTAGGGATAGTTGAAAGAAAGAGAATAGATTTGTCTTGGTATGGAGTGAGTCACCTGGGATGCTCTCTAAATAGGATGAACCTGAACAGTTGTTGTTTCCCAAGATTGCTCCCTGGGGACCTGGAATGCCAACAAAATGAGTCTGTTTTCCCAAGGGGATTTCTCAAGCCTATTTTCTGTTTGTTTGTTTGTTTGTTTGGTGTTTTATTGAGAGTGACAGCTTTCACAGTTGGGATGGGTATTTCTCTAGGTTGGGACAATCCTAAAGATATCAAGAACCCTTACTACTTGAAGTAAAGACACAGTCCACACATCACACTGTCTAAAAAGGAAAGGATAATAACTCATAAGACAAGCCTCTCAACCAGAGGTCACTCCCAGTGAATTAAAACACCAAAGCGTGATGCAGTCATTGAATGCCATGTCTGATATCAAGGGCACCCATAAAATCAGCTGGGAACAGAGCCCCTGGGGTAACCTCCATAACCAGTGTCTGAAAAGCAGGACAAAGATGACCCCAAAGCTGCAAACAAAACAACACACAAGAAAGCACACAGGAAACACACATTTTACTTTTTTACAGACAAATAATAGCACAGGTGATTAGGGAACTATTCCCAAGACTGCCACTTTCTCATAAATATTAACATAAACAAAGAAATCACATAAAATCAACTTTTTTTTAACCTTTTGAGATGGAGTCTTGCTCTGTCACCAGGCTGGAGTGAAGTGGCTCTATCTTGGTTCACTGCAATCTCCACCTCCCAGGTTCAAATGATTCCCCTGCCTCAGCCTCCCAGGTAGTTGAGACTACAGGCAAGTACCGCCATGCCTGGCTAAGTTTTTGTATTTTAGTAGAGATAGGTTTCACCATGTTGACCAGAATGGTCTCAATCTCCTGACCTTGTAATCCTCCCATCTTGGCCTCCCAAAGTGATGGGATTATAGGCATGAGCCACCACACCTGGCCAAAATCAACTTTAAACTTACATGTTTAAGGTTTAAATATTAAACACTCTCTCACACATAGTTTACAGGAGTAAGTCTAATTACTGTGAATCCTTCCTTTTTAAAGCAATGAAGTAAAGAATTTTTTGGCCCTTACCATTTCAACTTCTAATATGTATGCAGCATCCTAGAGTTGACACTGAGGGAAACTTGCTAGAATCAGTTCTGTTTCAGAAGGCTCTGCTGAGCCCCTCCTATGTGCAGACCCAAGGCCACTGGGGACACAGGGCCATCTTTTTTCACAGTCTGGCAGAGAGGACAGGTTAATTCCATCAAAGGTCCCAAAAAACACAGTCATTTAAATAAACAGTGCTAAACAAGCCAATGAAAATTAAGTAAATAAAGTATGTCAAAATTTTACTTACACTTCCCACCCAAGCTTCAGACAATCCTCTTGCCTGTTTATAGTAGATATATACAGGGTCGCCTTTTGTAAAATTCACAAAATGACAATCTGGGCCTCTGAAATTTTCTAGAGCTTCACCCTGGTACATTAACACTGTAAAAAAAAGAGAGAGAAAAATTAGCCAGATTATCAAGATTGAATGTTGACAGTCCATATTGATTTATCAGGAAATAAAAGAATCCCAATATAAATAACAACCAAATTTTTCCAGTACTCTGGAATTTCTTTTATTTGCTCAAAGTATCTCAAATCCTTAGAGCTTTACTGTTATAAATCATATCTTCTACAAGTAGACAGAGGAAAGGAAAACCTTATCTATTTTTCTCTGTGGATAATACTGAGAAACAAAAAGCAATGTGTCAACTACCACACATGGCTTTTCTTATCCAAGTGAAATTCTTGATTCTGTCTCTAACTTTCCAATTCTTCAATCTTTTCTGTTTCATATTCATAAAAAGCTTCCTTTTGCAAATTGGTAAATGCAAGCCCAGATGATGACTAGCTTAAGCATGGCTATGTGAAGAGGTAATAGGGAACCAGAGTACCCAGGAACTCAAAGAGGCCAATTAACGTGAACTAACCAGTAAAAGTCTCCACCTTCAAGTGGCTGCAACCACTACTATGTAGCAGTAAACACTGTCAATTTCACTGGCAGCCAAGTTGTACTCTCTGCACAGTGTCTGCATAGATTAATGGAAAAGAATATCTATCACACCATACTATAGATTCAATTACATCACAAGGCAATATTTTCTGAAAGTAAATAATGTTGACTGCATCTAACATTAAGAAAGTTTCAAAACAAAGACAAAATACCCTTATGTATATGTTTCTATAAACAAAATCAAAAGTCATGGACATCTCATGTAGCCAGGACTAAGCAAACTATAGAATAGGTCAGTAATTCCCTTCATGCTTAAAAGGCACGCTGAAGTCATGCTTGATCTAGAAACTGTGAGCAGTACTTTTCTTTCTGTGTCCACATAAACAGTTTTCCATTCAAGACTAAATGGGCAATACATATATTTAAATAGCAGAGACAATAAAGGAAAATGGAAATAAGATTTTTTCCAAAACCCAATTTGCAATGAAATACATTGAAAATGTGTCTCTAAATGGCTCCACAAACATATAGATTTGGAGGGAGTCATTTGTTTTTTGAAGCTAGACTCTGATTATGTTCCAACACGTCAACTATGGAGTTCAGACATCATTGAAAGAGAGGTCAGGTTTAAGACGACGGACAATTTAAGATTGGGAATAAGATCAAAATTGGAAATGGCAGTGTTTTTCTGGCTCTCCCTTAGAATAGATCATAGAGGATTTATAATAACATCAGAGGCCAACATAAATGTGGAACAACTATTGGAAAAGCACACAAGGACACTGTACACACTCATATTACACAACACTTTATACAACACAACAAAGACCCATCCAGATGTTGCTCTGTTGGTGCCTGTTATATTTGGTTTCCTCTGCTTGAACACACACCATTTCTCAAGTTATGTTACAACCCTGAGCTCTTCTAACATCAGGCCTCAGGACGGAAGAAGCATCACTGATGTGACGATTCTCCAGGTAGCCTGTTTTGATGAACCCAGGCAGGGCCATGCTTGCGAGCAAAGAATACCAACTATCTTGCCAGCGCCAACAGCAAATGGATAACAGCCTGGTTTTGCTCCAAGAAAACTAAAGGGAAAAATCATGGCAGTTGTTCTGCTTTTGACAGCTTATTGACATCAACCAGAGGGTTACCTGTAGGAATGGCTTCACGCTCATTAGAGATCTCTTTTCTTGATTAGTGTTGTAGAGATACAGACAGATCAAATTATGAAATTTGGTTTTGATAACAAATTTGAATATAAATAGCTAAACTATAGGGTTCTTGGCCTTTCTAAAATGAATACTTTTGTATAGGCCTTGCTTAACAATGTATGAAAAACCGTTTCTGCAGTGGCTGTAAGTTACAAGGATGTTTGAGACCAGCTGAAAGACTCTAAGAATGATCCTGGTTCGGGGAACACATAGAGAAGAGGTTTCAACACACAAGTGGCTAAGTCTAAACCAACCTTGGCTTTTGAGACCCTTGGGGTATTTATGATCTTTCCTGTAAAAACCCTCTTCATCTGAGCCTGAAGATCTCCCCACCGCCCACCTCCAATCCTGATCTGGAGAGCAATTCCTCTTCCTGCGCACAGAAGAGGAGGCTGCCGGTCCAGGTGGTCGGTGCAGATCTTCAGCCTCTTTGCAGAGCAAAAGATTTTGGCCTTCCTGCTGCCCTGCCTAGCAGTCTGCAAAAAGGCTTGCAAGCACAGAAATGTAGGATTGATCAAAGTCGGGGTAGAGACCTCGGAATACAATGAGTGCTTGGACTCCGGACTCGTCCCAAACCTAAACTCCTAATTCCTGTTCAAAAGGTGGTATGAACCCAAATCCCAGTGAAGCAAAAGGGCAAAGCGGCATCCCCAGAGAGCCTTTCCAGAGAAGCCCCACGATCAACGTGCCACAGAGAAAATGCCCACCGAGCCCTTATGGCATCTGCCGGGGTACTGCACCCACTAAGGTCCCCACAGTGCAAGCAAGAAAGCATTTGGCTGCGACGTGGGAACCCCAGTCGGGCGATGTGCAACCGCATCTACCCTAAGAGCACAGGCGGTTGGGGGGGTGGTAAGGAACGCTGTGAGCTACTCCTGGGGAAACCAGGGACCACTGCAAGCAAGCCCCCATTTCAGCAGAGGAAAAATAAAACGCTGGCAACAAGTGGGAGGTGCAGCCCCCACAGTCAGGCCCAAGTGGCTGGGTGCCAGCAGAGCCAGAGAAGGCAGACACAGGGACCCGGAGCCAGCCCACCTCCGCATCCTGCCCAACCCACTTGCGACTCATGAGCCGGCCCGCTGGGGTGCCGAGCTCCAGCCCTCGCACAATCCGGGCGGTGCCGCCGCGGAGACCACGGGCCCCTGGCCTTCCAGGCTCACTCACTGCTGCGTTCGTCGTCTGCACAGAGTTTGTCTTCCGAGAAGCGCCGGCCAGTGCTGGGGTCCGGCTGGCCCGGCACTCGCCACGGCAGCCCAAGCACGAGCAGCCAGAAGAGCAGCCCAGGCGCCACAGCCATATTGTGGTCACCTCGGGGAGCCGGTGACGCGGAGGAGGAGGCCAGGGGCGGAGTGCCAGGGACGGGTGGGAAGCCAGGCGCCCCCAAGGGGCGGCGCCCGGGAAGGTTTGAGCAGTTCCCGACTGACGCGTCAGCAGGGGCTTTAAGAGGGATGCGGTGGACCTCCAGGAGGATTGAGGGAGACCTCCAGGAAGGGGACTGGCAGCCTAGTCCTCACCCCGAAGTCTTTTCCTCTGGTCGTTTCCTCTGGTCGCTGCCGTGGCAACCAGAACTCTTGTTTGTTCTCCCACATCCAATCACCTGCCTTTGCCCCAGTGACTTCGTTCGTTGTTCACCCTTCTCTGCGTGCTTGCCTTTTGGCCTGGCCTGGCCTTTTGGGGTGGCCTCAACTTTTGGCCTGGCCTTTTGGCCTGGTCTGGCCTGGCCTTGTCTTTCGGCCTGGTCTGGACTTGCCTTGCCTTTTGGCCTGCCCTTGCATTTGGCCTGGCCTCTTGGCCTGTCCTCACCTTTTGGACTGGCCTTTTGGCCTGGCATGACATTTTCGCCTGGCCGTTTGTCCTGTAATGGCCTTTTGTCCGGGTCTTTTGTCCTGTCCTGTCATTTAGGCCTGGATTGTTGGCTGAGCCTGAACGTTTCGCCTGGCCTTTTGGCCTGTCCTGGACTTTTGGCATGGCCTTTTGGCCTGGCGTGCCCTGTCCTTGCCTGTTGGCCTGGCCTTTGGACCTGCCCTGACCTTTTGGCCTGGCCTTTTGTTCTGGCCTTGCGTTTTGGCCTGGTGTGGCCTTGCCTTGCCTGCCTTTTGGCCTGCCCTCTTGGCCTGGCCTGGACTTTGGTCCTGGCCTTTTGTCCTGTCCTGTACTTGTGTTCTGGCCTCTCTGTCTGGCCTGGCCTTTTGTCCTTGCCTTTTGTCCTGGCCTGGCCTACTGCCCTGGCCTTTTAGCCTGTCCTGGCCTTTTGTCCTGGCCTGGCCTGTACTTACCTGTTGGCCGGGCCTTTGGACCTGGCCTGACCTTTTGGCCTGGCCTTTTGGCCTGGTCTTGCCATTTGGCATGGCCTGGCCTTTTGGCCTGGTCTGGCCAGTCCTTGCCTTTTTGCCTGGCCTTTTGACGTGGCCTGACCTTTTGTCCTGGTCTTGCATTTTGGCCTGGCCTGGCCTGTTCTTGCCTTTAGGACTGGCCTGGCCTTTTGGCCCTGACTTTTGATGTGTCTTGGCCCTTTGGCCAGACCTGGCCTTTTGTCCTGGTCTGCCCTACCCTTACCTTTTGGCCTGGCCTTTTGACCTGGCCTGACCTTTGGGCCTGGCCTTTCGTTCTGTTGTGGCTTTTTGGCCTGTCCTGGCCTTTTGGCCTGGTCTGGCCTGTCCTTTCCTTTTGGCCTGGCCTTTTGGCCTGGCCTTTTGACCTGGCCTGACCTTTCATCCTGGTCTTGGCCTTTTGTCCTGGCCTGGCCTGTCCTTGCCTTTTGACCTGGACTGACCTTTTGGCCTGACCTTTTGTCCTGTTCTTGCTTTTTCGCATGGCCTGGCCTGAACTTTTGGCCTGGCCTGACCTTTTGGCCTGGACTTTTGGCCTTGCCTATTGGCCTGTCCTGGCCTATTGGTCTTGCCTTTTGACCTGGCCTGACTTTTTGTCCTGGTGTCGCCTTTTGGCCTGGCCTTTTTTTCTGGTCTTGCCTTTTGGCCTGGACTGGCCTGGCCTTTACTGCCCTTTTGGCCTGCCCTCTTGGCCTGGCCTAGACTTTTGTCCTGGCCTTTTGTCCTGTCCTGTCCTTGTGTCCTGGCCTGTTGGTCTGGCCTGGTCTTTTGTTCTGGCCTCTTATTTGGCCTAGCCTTTTGCCCTGGCCTTTTGGTCTGTCCTGGCCTTTAGACGTGGACTGTAGGCTGGGTCTGACCTTTTTGCCTGGCCTTTTGGCCTGTCCTGGACTTTTGGCATGGCCTTTTGGCCTGGTCTGGCCTGCCCTTGCGCCTTGGCCTGGCCTTTGGATCCGCCTGACCTTTTGGCCCTGCCTTTTGACCTGTCTTGGCCTTTTGTCCTGGTCTGGCCTGTCCTTGCCTTTTGGCCTGGGCTTTTGACCTGGCCTCATCTTTTGGCCTAGCCTTTTGTCCTGTTCTTGCTTTTTGGCATGGCCTGGCCTTTCGGCCTTCCCTTTTGGCCTGGCCTGGCCTTTAGGCCTGGACTTTTGGCTGGGCCAAACCTTTTCACCTGGTCTTTTGGCCTTGCCTTTTGTCCTGTCCTGGCCTCTTCTCCTGGCCTTTTGTCCTGGCCTGGCCCGGCCTTGCCTCTTGGCATGGCCTTTGGACCTGGCCTGACCTTTTGGCCTGGCTTTTTGTCCTGGTCTTGCCATTTGGCATACCCTTGCCTTGTGGCCTGGCCTGGCCAGTCCTTGCATTTTGTCCTGGCCTTTTGTCCTGGCCTGACCTTTTGTCCTGGTCTTGCCTTTGGCCTGGCCTGGCCTTTTGGCCTGGTCTGTCCCGTCCTTGCCTTTCAGACTGGGCTGGCCTTTTGACCCTGCCTTTTGACCTGTCTTGGCCCTTTGGCCAGGCCTGGCCTTTTGTCCTGGCCTGGCCTATCCTTACCTTTTGGCCTGGCATTTTAACCTGGCCTGAACTTTTGGCCTGGCCTTTTATCCTGTTCTTGCTCTTTGGCATGGCCTGGCCTTTTGGCCTTGCACTGTGGCCTGGTCTGACCTTCTGGCCTGGCCTGACCTTTTGGCCTGGACTTTTGGCCTTGCCTTTTGGCCTGTCCCAGCTTTTTTGCCTGGCCTTTTGACCTTTTCTTGCTTTTTGGCCTGGCCTGACCTTTTCGCCTGGCCTTTTGGCCTTGAATTTTGGCCTGTCCTGGCCTTTTGGCCTGAACTTTTGGCCTGGCCGGACCTTTTGGCCTGGCCTTTTGGCTTTGCCTTTTGGCCTGTCCCGGCTTTTTTGCCTGGCCTTTTGACCTTTTCTTGCTTTTTGGCCTGGTCTGATCTTTTGGCCTGGCCATTGGCCTTGCCTTTTGACCTGGCCTGACTTTTTGTCTTAATCTTGGCATTTTGGC